TGTTCTTCACTTCCGAGACCTCGCTGAGTCGACATAAAAAATATTGGACCTTTGGTTGTGCGCCTTCTTCTTACTGGATCCACATGACCGACGTTAATGGTATCGGGCTGTGCCACACGATCTAAAACCTCATAAAGAAATGACCATTACTGCAGTGGTCTTTCGAGGTCTTGTCTTTGTGTGGGACACCGATACCCCCCCCCATTATATTAGACACGGTCTACACTTATTGCTCCGGAACCGCTACGCCTCTAGACATATCAATTAAACACAGCCACCCTTCCACGCACTCCTGGCAATGCGAACGTCGCATGGAAATCCACCGTGATTGACGATCAGAAAGCAGACTTCCTGTTATATACACAGGCCAGATTATACCGATATGTGAAAACTGTCCCCAAAATCCCGCACTCGACTTCTGTGACTGGGTATGATTAGCATCATATTAAATCCTAGAATGTAAGATTAACTATTACTCTATAAGATCAGATCGAGTGGACGTCTCCAAATAAACTATGTGGACCACTCTCCATAGTCACACTCTGGCCTAACTAGCAATTATTCTGTCCCATACTAGGAACAACGCCTATCCAGATCTCTTCTCATTTCACGATACACCGTTATGTGAGGCAGCGTGACCAAATTGCTTTATTGGCAAATAAATTAATAATTCAGTCCTGGATGATAGACCTACTTATAATACGTACAGTAACAGGTATCCCACATTTAAACGATAATTAGGCTAGGCTAACCAGGCTCGCAGATTTAAGATGCCTGGGTATTGTCAGAAATTTAATATGAAGAAAACCATTCACAACATCAAACCTACTGTGCACCGTGAAGAACGTGAGCTACCAATAAATATCGTTTAATTGCCTAAAATAAAACTACAGGAATGATTTGAAGCACACGGAAACACATATAAGGCGTCAGCTCTTTTAACTCAACACCTTAACTAATATATTCTGACATTAACTTTAACTGCCTGTACTCACGCCTTCTCAGCCATCATCATATCTTATATCTCTCACATTCACATTTTCACTCTAATAACAAATTAGTCGGTGCAATTAAAAACCCTCTTCTCTTCCGCCATTCTGAAGTATGCAATTTTCAATAATGTCCTTGTCGCATCACAAACCAATATTCTCCTGTCTTCTGAGGACTTCATTCAAGTTTCTCTCAATGGCAAACGAGCAGGCCCCAATAGGTGACTGCTCAATACTCATTCGATTTAGTCCATGTTCCATAAAAATATGTCATAAGTTCCCACACTTTATCTAAATATAGACTACAATCACTGAAAAGTGTCTACTGAATTTATTGTATCAGACTACATCCTCAATAAAGTGTTTACTTAAGTATTGATATTTATTATTATGAAATGAAGTTAACTAGCCTTCTTGGCGACCCCGCAAAGCGGGGTCTTGCAAAGGCCCACCTGGCCTGAGTTTCCATTCTTGACACCCCGCCAAAGCGGGTTTGGGTGGCCGCCGGCCCGCGACAGCCAGCCAGCCCCCGTTTTGGGCGCCGCCGCGGGCACGCCGTAGTACCCGTTATACGCGGCCCCTCATCTAATTCGCGCACCACTGGCCGGCCACCCTCAGTGCGTGTGGACCGGCCCCCCGGCCCCGCGGGCCATAGTAGGCCTCCACCCCAGCCCCAGTATCCTCTTTGGTTCTTATCTGGATCCCTAATCACGCCCCGAACCCACGACCACGACCCGAATCCTTAAGCCAACTGGAATCCTTGCCCTGCGGCGCCCCCGACCACTGGCCAGCCAGCTGGACCGCCGTGCGCCGGACGACACCACACCACACGCCTTTCGAGCATGCCAGAACACGAAGTTACGCTTTAATGGTTCTTCTTCGGTCTGTATTCCCTTATTCGGGTGCAACCTGATACACACACCTCGGCCGCGCCTAGGCGACGCCGACCCTGTCTCCTCGAACTCCCTAGGAGCCCCAAATATTGGCTTAGCATACTAAGAACGAACATAGCCATCTAGGCCCTAACCACAACACACATAAACCCCTCCACACCAAAAAATTAACCACCCACCCCCTTCCCGACCCCAACACACCGACCCTGCTCTCCAACACACACGCACGTGCAATCGCCGTGCTACTAAACCGCGTTGGGCCACCAGTCTACTCCCAACCCTGATACCACCGGACACATCAGAATTCTCTCTGAACGGTGAATAGTACTATCCATCCGTGCCCACCCGCAAGGCGTGACTCCCGCACAAAAGAGGCTCGCCAAAAAGAGGCTGTGCCTGCTCCCCCGCAGAGGCTGCAGAGAACCACGCCCTCTCCCATCACAATTCTTCCTCAAAATAGTGCAAAAAACACTCGCACCTCCTGAGGAATTCAGCGAAAAATCACTCGCGCTCCTACCGATTTTTACTTCGCCGACTGTCACAGCGTAGAGGGCGGGGACCTTTGTTTTTCCCCTCTTCCCTCCCCCGCCCTTAGCGCCTGTGACAGGAGTGCGAGTAGTTGTAAAAAAATCGCCGATAGGAGCGCCGAAGTGATTTTTTCGCTGAATTCATGCAAGTGTAGTGCGAGTGTTTTTTTGCAACTATTTTGAGGTAAGAATATGTGATGGAGAGCGGGCGTTCTTGGTTTGCAGCACCTTCAGGAGGCAAGGCACATCATAGGCACAAGCCTCTTTTGGGCTGTCCTTAAACCACTTAGTCGTAGAGAGTCGTGAGTGAATGAGCTTCTTCTCTCTAATCCTCTCCTTTCCTTCCCTCACCGTGTGTCGAGTCTACCATACAGACCCGTAATGATGAAATATGGGGTTAGAGAGATAAGAGGTCACGCACAAGTGACAGGGACCTGCGCTGTCTCCCCCGCAGAGGCTGCAAGAACCACGCCCTCTCCCATCACAAAATTCTTCCTCAAAAATAAGTGCAAAAAACACTCGCACTCCTGCAGAATTCAGCGAAAAAATCACTCGCGCTCCTACGCGATTTTTACTCGCACTCCTGTCACAGGCGCTAGAGGGCGGGGAGGAGAGGGGGAAAAAAAGGTCCCCGCCCTCTAGCGCCTGTGACAGTCGTGCGAGTAAAAATCGCGTAGGAGCGCGAGTGATTTTTTCGCTGAATTCTGCAGGAGTGCGAGTGTTTTTTGCACTTATTTTTGAGGAAGAATTTTGTGATGGGAGAGGGCGTGGTTCTTGCAGCCTCTGCGGGGGAGCAGGCACAGCCTCTTTTTGGCGTGAGCCTCTTTTGTGCGGGAGCCACGCCTCTGCGGGGGGCACGTCGTGTGTGTTGGGGTCGTGTGTGTTGGGGTCGTGTGTGTTGGTGTTTTGTGTGAGGGGGTTTTGTGTGTTGGGCATGGCGTTAGTTCGTTCTTTGCTAATTTGCTCCTAGGGTTGGGCGTGGGCTTGCGGGTCACTTGCTCGGTGTGTCGCGGGCCGGCGGTCCACTGGCTATGCATGTCGGGGGCTGGCGGTCCACTGGCTGGGCGTGTCGCGGGTCGGCGGTCCACTGGCTGGGCGTGCCGTGGGCCGGCGGTCCACTGGCTGGGCGTGCCGCGGGCCGGCGGTCCACTGGCTCGGGCTGTCGCGGGCCGGCGGGCCACCCAGACCCCGCTTTGGCGGGGTCGTCAAGAATGGAAACTCAGGCCAGGTGGGCCTTGCAAGACCCCGCTTTGGCGGGGTCGCCAAGAAAGGCTAGTTTACTTCCATTTCATAATAATAAATATCAATAGCATTAAGTAAACACTTTATGGAGGATTGTAGTCTATTTACAATAACATTCAGTAGAAACTTTTCAGTGGATTGTAGTCTATTTAGATAAAGTGTGGGAACTTATGACATATTTTTTATGGAACATGGACTAAATCGAATGAGTATTGAGCAGTCACCATTGGGGCCTGCTCGTTTGCCATTTTGAGAGAAATTTGAAATGAGTCTCAGAAGACAGGAGAATATATGTTTTGTGAGGCGAAAGGACATTATTGAAAAATTGCAGTATTAGGGAAGGATTTTTTACATAATTTGTTATTAGAGTGAAGGTGGTTGCTAAATTGGTGAAGGAAAAGCGTGAGAGAGCAGTTAAAGTTTAAATCAATAACTCAGTAGATTATCAAAGGTGTGATTTTGCTGTTTCCGTGTGCTTCAAACATTCTGTAGTTTATTTTTAGGCAATTAAACGATATTTATTGGTAGCTTCAACGTTCTTCACGTGCACAGTAGGTTTGATGTTGTGGAAATGGTTCTTTCATATTACAATTTCTGACAATACCCAGGCATCTTAAATTGCGACCCTGGTTAGCCTAGCCTAATTATTGCGTTTGATGTGGGAACCTTGTTAATGTACGTATTATAAGTAGGTCTATCATCCAGGACTCAATTAATTAATTTATTTGCCAAATAAAAGCAATTTGGTAACCATTCAACTGTTGGAGAGGTTGGTGGTGTTCGTTTTAAATGTACTACTATGACCTTGTCAATTAATTGTCTATAGGTCAGATGATTTTTCGAGATTTTTATAATCATGATAACGCTATTTTTGGTACAGTTCACATATATCTAGCTACTTTTAACAGAATCTTCCTTTCTGATTCAAATCACGTGATTTCATTGTTGCTAGGTGGTGTGTTAATATCAGCTCGGGCGTTTCCGCCTCATTTTGACATTTTAATACCAATGCATGAGGCCTTCAAATTTGGTAAAGCAATAGACCTGTTTTTTGGTTGCCCCCGACCTCCATTTTATATGGAGAAGCTCAAATTTCGATATTTTCACGAAGAGGCATCCAGCAAAGTCATTTATCTATTTCCTCTTCACCCCGACCAAATTTGAAAATAAATTAATCTTTATATGAATGTTACTTAATACCTGTGTCTAAAATATTGCCGAGAGAGAATATATATAGTTCCACTAATGTTTCATTTTTGAGGACTTTTTATCATGCTATAAAACTTGACTGATTATCAACTATCCTAATTTGTGTTCAATGGCAGATTTCTAGCAGAAAAACAAATATCTACTTCATCATCATAATAATTATCAAAATGTTTGCTAATTTTGAAAACAACAACAATTAATAGTTACTATTGGTGAGCCAACCCTAGAGTTGAGAATCCTCAAAACAAAATTCATAACTAAAGCAAAATCTAAAATCTGATGTTTTCAAAATATATGAGGCAAACCCTCAAATATATCACAATGAGGGAGGCGTGTATTTCACCAACATCCTCGTAAAAAACCAATTGCAAGATTGGTAACAATAAATGGCTAGAGTTGAGGATCCTCCAAAGTTAAATAGCACATTTAAAGCAAAATCTAATAGATGTTTATAACGCATAGGGGGCAAACTCTGTAAAAGTACAATGAGGGAACCGTGTGTTTCATAAACATCCTCGTAAAAATCCAATTGGAAGTAGGGTATGAAAATCTATGAAATAGGGGTCCTATCAATCGCTGAAACTATTTGAGAGCAGGATGCAAAATCTTGAATTATCCTTCAACTTTACAATAAACATACAAAGATCCTCTAAATCAATCAAATTATAACGAAACAAAGGCCAAAGAAGAAATGTCTTTCATTCAAATCGTGGTGTCAAAACGTCTCGCAAATGCCCTGAAAAAAAGAGGAATAATGGCTATTAAATTTCAGCGCTAGTGTACGCGTAGAAACAATTCATTAAAGCATGTTTCCATGTCGAAATGGAAATGGCTGGAAAAATTGCTTAGCAGTTGTAAAATAAAATTGGTCTAAAAGCGGTAGAAAAACACGTACAAAAAAGGAGCAGAATGATTATTTTGACAAAAAGGGGCAGCTTCCAATCCATGAAAATATCGCAAAAGCAATCAATCAACTGTGAGGGGTTAGGGGAGGCGTAACTTCACCGGCATTTGCAATAGATGGAAAAATGTATTGAAAAAGTTATTAAATTTCTATACCACGATGAAAGCAACATGAAGTTTACAAAAACTCTACTAAATCTTGTCACTAAGGGTGTAGCATGAATATTTAAACAAAAAGGGGCAGCAAAAATTCTTAGAAAATATCGCGAAAGCAATCAATCAATCGCAAGGGTTAGGAGGAGGCGTAATTTCACCGGCATTCGCAACAGACAAAAAACTGCATTGAAAAATTTAATTTTTCTAAATAAACACTTGGCTTTTCGTTAAGAATTCATTCAACGTATTTATATAAAGAAACGCGAAACAAAATTTGAGTATAAACAAAGTAAAACACCAAGAGATCTTCTATATCAAAAATCGCTTACCGTGTGATGAAGCTGGGTGAGAATATGTTTACAATACTTTGGTCAATCTGCCACGGGAATGTCCTGCAAAAAATCCAAGAATAACCGAAATGAAAACTGTGACGCAGCAAGTTTACGAAAATCAAATGTCGACATCGAAGATCGAGGTTCCTAATCGATGCGTCACTAATGATCGTTAACGATCCGCACTCACAAAAAGTTTCCCCAATAACGACCTTGCAGACAATGGGGTCACATCACAAAGGGGGCGTAGCTTGATCGTCGTTCGCAACTCGTCAGGCAAAACTGTCCTATAAAGTTTGAATTTCCTGAATCTAGTCGTTACAATTCGCTGAGAATTCGTTGCACAAATTGATAAATAATAAAATACCTTTATCTTGAAACGTAGATGAACAAAAGGGCCTGAAAATAACCCCGAAAACAAAATCGCGAATGCAATCAATCAATCGCGAAGGGATTAGGGGGACGTAACTTCACCGGCTTTCGCAACACATGAAAAACTTTATTGAAAAATTTAATTTTCCTAAATGAACACTTGGCATTTCGTTTAGAATTCATTCAGCATATTTATCTAAGAAACGGCAAACAAAATTTGAGTATAAACGAAGTAAAACACGAAGAGATCTTTGATATCAAAAATCGCTTACCGTGTGATGAAGCTGGATGAGAATATCTTTTACAATACTTTGGTCAATCTGCCACGGGAATGTCCTGCAAAAAATCCAAGAATAACCGATATGAAAACTGTGACGCAGCAAGTTTACCAAAATCAAATGTCGACATCGAAGATCAAGGTTCCTAATCGGTGCGTCACTAATGATCGTTAACGATCCGCACTCACGAAAAGTTTCCCCAATAACGACCTTGCAGACAATGGGGTCACATCACAAAGGGGGCGTAGCTTGATCGTCGTTCGCAACTCGTCAGGCAAAACTGTCCTATAAAGTTTGAATTTCCTGAATCTAGGCGTTACAATTCGCTGAGAATTCGTTGCACAAATTGATAAATAATAAAATATAAAATACCTCTAAGGGATGAAAATAACCCCGAAAACAAACGCACTAACCTGATGAATATTCAATTTAGAAAAGGTATTCAAATCGTGTTCTCGACACTGTCCTGCAAAAAGAGCAGAAGAACAGACGGTAAATTCAATGTTGTAGCTAATAAAAGAGCAACAGAAGAAACATAGTATTCAATAAAGGGGCGACTATTAAATATTTCGCGGTAGGGGCAGGGCGTTTTGTTAGAAAAATGGCAGGGCAAGGTACAGAAACATAAGCGAAAAGAATAAACAATACTCACAGTGAAAATTGCGTCCAAAATCAAGGGTCCATTGTGAGAAACATGTCGACTTCTTTTTCCAAACCTTTCTTTCCAACCGTGTGCTCTAAAATGCACCTGGCTGGAAAATGATCTTTGCGACAATTTATCATGCTTTTATCCAGTTGAGACTGTTCTGACACAAATTGCACAGTAATTTATCAATCAATCCTCCATAAAAGGGAATTTTTCAGTTACCGGGAAAAAAACTGTCCCTGCAACAATGCAAATCGCTACGTCATCGGAACGCATCGCCAAAAGACCATGATAACCATGTGAGTGCCTAGTAGTTTAAGCAACAACAATGAGATAATCATGACAATCATAACTTTTGCTCGTACGGTCTCGAGCTTTTGGGAGAAAGGTGTCGCAAGCGAGCTGTTTCGATTCCAAAAAAACCTCGAATCGAAACTTCCATCCAGAAGGGAGAACCGAGCTGTGACGCAGCAAGGTTTTCTTGCAAAGGAAATCGAAGCTCGCAGAGACTTGAGGATCCCGCACTTAATTGCTTCTCCGCACAAAGAGGTGGCGTTTAACGACCTCGCTGACAAAGCCTAACACGCTTAACGACCCGACCTAACCTTTTCTCCGGAGAGGCAATCAGATCCGCAAGCAAAGCAACTTCCGCCCAAAAAAAGTTTGTTTCGAGGATTTTCAGGCAGGAAGACGGGACCAAATCGAAAATCGAAGGCCAGCTGCAGACTCACGTCGACGGACGGGATCGAACGGAGGAAAAAGCGGGACGTCTCGAGGAGGCCTCGAAACCGATCTCGTTCGAAGAGGCGTCGAGTGGGTCAGACCGTGTGCAGATTTCCGTGCCCCTCATTTGCATAGTAGCACATTCGTTGTTTCGAAGCTAATTTGCATAGTAGGATTTTAGTATATTGAGAGGTCTTGCTTGGGTGGACCGCCGGCCCGCGACACACCGAGCCAGTGGACCGCCGCCCCGCGGCACGCCGAGCCAGTGGACCGCCCCCCGCAACACACCGAGCCAGTGACCCGCATGCCCTCCCCAACCCGAGCTGCAAATTAGCAAAGAACGAACTAACGCCATCCCAAACACACAAAACCCCCCTCGCACAAAACCCCAACACACACGACCTGCCCCCCGCTGAGGCGTGCCCCCAACAGAGGCGTGGCTGCCGCCCAAAAGAGGCTCCCACCAAAAAGAGGCTGTGGCGTGCTCCCCCGCAGAGGCCGAGAGAACCACGCCCTCTGCCATCACAAAATTTTCCCTCAAAAAAATGTGCAAAAGACACTCGCGCTCCTACGCGATTTTTACTCGCACGACTGTCACTGGCGCTAGAGGGCGGGGAGCAGAAAACGGGGAGGAGGAGGCTCCCCGCCCTCTAGCGCCAGTGACAGTCGTGCGAGTAAAAATCGCGTAGGAGCGCGAGTGTTTTTTGCACATTTTTTTGAGGGAGAATTTTGTGATGGCAGAGGGCGTGGTTCTCTCAGCCTCTGCGGGGGAGCACGCCACAGCCTCTTTTTGGTGGGAGCCTCTTTTGGGCGGCAGCCACGCCTTTGTTGGGGGCACGCCTCAGCGGGGGGCAGGTCGTGTGTGTTGGGGTTTTGTGCGAGGGGGGTTTTGTGTGTTGGGGATGGCGTTAGTTCGTTCTTTGCTAATTTGCAGCTCGGGTTGGGGAGTGCTTGCGGGTCACTGGGTCGGTGTGTCGCGGGGGGCGGTCCACTGGCTCGGCGTGCCGCGGGGCGGCGGTCCACTGGCTCGGTGTGTCGCGGGCCGGCGGTCCACCCAAGCAAGACCCCGCTTTGGCGGGGTCGCTAAGAAAGGCTAGTTTATTTCTATTTTATAATAATAAATAACAATGACATTAAATAAACTCTTTTAGGAGGATTATAATATATTTCCATAAAGTGATGGAAGTTGTGACATATTTTATGTGATAAATTGTAATTAAGAATTAGAACTCTTTCGCTGGAAGGGTCTGGGCAGTATTGTTTGTTGTTTCTGGTTAGTTTAAAAAATCGTATCAAAAAAGGCCTTTGACCCTTTTGATTCAAAAGTATGAGTAAGGTCTAATGCAATCATCTCTTTAAATATAAAAAAATTGGAGTTTCGTGTGGACCGTATGCACCGCGCAGGTGTTATTTGATGCATCTAAGCCTTAGCCTAAGAAATCTACTCGATAATGGATATATGAAATCCATCTAAATTCCTATGCTTCGTCAGCGTAGCCAAATTATTTGGTTTAATGTGGGAGCCTTGTTACTGTACTGACTATAAATGTAGGTGAATCCTCCAAGCCTCAATGAATAAATTAATTTGTCAAATAACTGTAATGGAGACGTTGTTTATCAGCAAATATGATTGACATGTCTCTTGTGAGCCAAGAGCCCAGATATCTGGACCTGATGTCATGCACTGCAAGGGCCTGAGTAGCATTGTTCACTCATGTATAATTAGCAATAATAGATATAATGGCTGTGTATGTGCCAAGAGCCCAGATATCTGGACCTAATGTCATTCACTGCAAGGGCCTGGGTAGCATTGTTCCCTCATGTATAATTAGCAATAATAAATGTAACGGCTTTGTCTGTGCCAAGTGCCCAGATATCTGGACCTAGTGTCAATCACTGCAAGGGACTGAGTAGCATTGTTCCCTCATGTATAATTAGCAATAATAGATATAATGGCTGTGTATGTGCCAAGTGCCCAGATATCTGGACCTGATGTCATGCACTGCAAGGGCCTGAGCAGCATTGTTCCCTCATGTATAATTAGCAATAATAGATATAATGGCTGTGTATGTGCCAAGTGCCCAGATATCTGGACCTGATGTCATGCACTGCAAGGGCCTGAGTAGCATTGTTCCCTCATGTATAATTAGGAATAATAGATATAATGGCTGTGTATGTGCCAAGTGCCCAGATATCTGGAGCTAATTTAACGAAGTGCAAGTCGATGTGAAGGATTGCTTTGTCGTTTGCCAAGTGCCCATAAATTTTGAGAGACTTTTTAGAGAGGGTGGTTTATTACTGAGAATACCACGGTTTGTCCTTTTTTAAATGTAGGGAATATCCGCAATATTTCTTTGTTTTATGCTGAATTAAAAAATAATTCTTTATCTTTATAAAAGCTTTTTTAATTTTAATTGGATCAGTGATTATCAGGGTTCTTTATTGTTGGTAATTTTGCGAATCCCTTATTGTTTAATAAAACTTTAAGATATATGCTTTAGTAACTTCGAATTTAATAATATAGGAGGCAGAATTTCGATTAGTCAGGTCCCCATTATGCTTCTTTGGAAGGGCCCTTTGAAGTAGTTTTGGAAATTGGTGGCTAGTTTAGAAAATGTCACTCAATGGCAATTCCCTATTCGAGAAGACAAAATTTTATATTTCCGCCTCATAAGTTTTAACCGCGCCTTAATTGGATTAACAGTAGTAATTTTTCGTAAGGGCGCTAATTTCATGTTTCGGGGTCCTCGTTTCGCATCAGGTGAACAATATCGGAGGGCATTTTCAAAAAAGGGTTGGTTTTGAAACCTCTCACCACGCAACTTTTGGTAAATGACGATTTGATGATTAAAGGATAAAATTTCTATAACCCCTTCCTATTTGTTCAAAGGTAAATAAATTCGCATGATTGGGGTTTATTTTCGTTGAAAAAGTTCAATTGGAATGGAATTTCGAATTCAAGTGGCACTTTTTTGATGGTATATCCTTTCTAACGTAAAATGCTCTTAAAACTGCCAATAAGTGTAGATTATAAGCCAGTGGGGCCGAAGTGATTTGCCCCGCTGTTCTATAGCTTGCCTTCACATTGCAGTCGATAGTGGACGATTTAACTCGAGAGTGTTGTCCGCATGGCTAAATGATCCTCTTTAATGTTGGAGCCACGTTACTGTACGGATTATTGGTACGTGAGTTAAGCAAAACTAATTAATCAACTTGGCAAAAAAGCAATTTCGAAGCCATTCCAAACTGGTCTATGATAATTGCACTGCATACGGGGCAGTCATAGGAGGGCCACCAAGCTTATGGCCCCTTTGGCTTGAATTAAGGGCCTTTCTATGAGTGGATATCGCCCTTCTTCTCAAAAGCGACCGTGAATAGAAGGAATAGCCCTTACGTATCAAAGTAAACATAATCATCATCCAATGTCACGGAGAAATTTTTTTAAAGATAAGCTTTCAGTTTGTTTTCGAAATGACTAAAGGCAATTTTTGCTTCATGAAAATGAAGTCTAGTCATTTTTTATGCCTAAAACAACGCCGGGGCAAGCTATGACGCAGCAAGTTTAGCAAATCAGAAAAGTTGTCTTTCCACCGTGGAGCTTTGCAGAAGGAAAAGTTAATGAATAGCTAAGTACCGCTAATGATCCGCAGTGACAATCAAGTTGCCACTTAATGATCGCGCCTCATTTGTATAGTTTGATCAAGAAGGGAAAGGTCCTGCATCCTTCGCAATCAAACAAAATGAAATTGTAAAGATAAGCTTCCAATTTGTTTTCGAAACGACTAAGAAAGTTTTTTCCATCATAAAAATGCTGTCAACCGACTTATACTGCGTAAAACAACGGCGGGGCAAGCTATGACGCAGCAAGTTTAGCAAATCGAAAAAGATGGTTTTTCACCGCGGAGCTTTGCAGAAGGAAAGGTTAATGATCGCTAACGATCCGCACTGACAATCAGCTTGCCACTTAATGATCTCGCATCAATGCTATAGTTTGATTAGGAAGGGAAACATCCTGAATCGTCCGCAACCAAAACAAACTTTCTTGTAAAGTTTCATTTTCGAAAATTTCGGCATTTTTACGTCCGTGTTAACTTCAATCGTATGTTTGGAATGCTCAGTGAAGTGCATGTGGATAGGAAATTCTTGTTGATTTTATTGAGCGGTCAATTCTTTGTTGCAATGATGGGGGATGGCGGGGCCCGTACCCCCACTCGGACAGGATTTGGTTAGCTTAATTTTTCGTTTTCTGTGTGATTTTCATTTAAATCCAACGCTCCTTTGAAAAAAATCGGGAAGAAGTTTTTCGAGGGTTTGACATTTATTTTTTCGATTTCACCAAGTAAACAAAGATGGCAAAACGAAGGGACACGTGATGTAAAAAGTAGTGGTACAGCTAAATTCGAACATGATAAGCATGAGC